TAATTAGGGCTGGACAATAAATGCTGCCTAGCCAGTGACGTCCTCATCCCATTAATGAATAAAAAAGTGTTTAACGAGGTAAGCGTTTAGTCACATCCTAAAAAGTAATCAGATCTTCTATTCCACCAGCCACCCTGCCCACATAGCATATTGAGACAGGCTGCTTCACTGCTCCAAGTTATGTTTCAGATCAAAGAATTAAACTTACCTATAAGGGTAAACGATTGGCAACTATATCCCTGGTCGATGGGGTGGGGGTATAGATTGCTTCCAGTTCTCAAACCAGAATCTTTTATCTGGAGTTCTCTGAACTCAGCCAAATTGTCTACAGTTTGACCTCATGTCAGAGGTTCAGCATGCAAAAACTGTTTCAAAAGCTGGTAATTGTAGCAAGGTAATTCTGAGAAAGATCTATGCTTGATAAGCCAAGGGGAATAATTATTAATGCATACTAGTCTGCACTGTTCTATTTGTCATTGAATTTACACATATACTGTCTTTCCCCACTATTGATGTTTGGTTATATTACACCATTTAAAATTACATCTTCAAGCAAATTGAGTATCTCAACAATATGTGATATAAAATAGATCAGACAGGGACAATAATCCCATTTTTGAACCCTGATCAACATCCACTGAACATTATTGAAAGTACTCAAGCTGAAATGGGACAAAGACCAAAATAAGCCTGACTCTGCCATTTCCTAGCAAGCCTATGAGTTCAGACCTAAATGAACACGAGCAAGTTTAAGAAATGCTATGGAATGTGTCAGATGATAGCACAGCAAAGGCCTGGGGCCTTAATAAGCACTTGGGCGAAACAGTGCATCTCCTTAAGCGTGTGATATAATCAGAGTAAGCAATGGATAGGAGGGAAATGGTTGTGTGGATTCAATGTCAAACCATATACAAATAGGATCGAGAAGATTCTGAAAGAGGAGATTAAAAAACAGAACCTATTCGAATAAGACACCACACTTATCATTGTTCATTTTCTGGGCATTAGCAGTCACTACTAATATCACATTATTGAATGTGTACTTAGCCCAGATTTAATTTTGTGGAAGTTTAACAGGCAATTAAAGGTGCAATGCAACAACTTCATAATACTCACAGGAATACTGAATGTCAAATGCTATTTTTTGCTAATTGAATAGCAGAGCAGTGCCACAGTTTCTAAGTTGGTGGATCTTTCTTCCTTGCAGCAAGTTATTTTGATTTAATTTGTTTATTAACAACATGTATCATTCAGGGCCCATCATGTTTTCAACAAAGTCTGGTTCCTCATTTTTAGAAGTGGGCATGTGGAGGTGTAGCATGGTTGTCAGGACTGTGACAGTGCACCACTCACCATTTAGTGATCTGCAGTTTCATCGGGTATCAATTTTTTCCACTCCATATAACATTTGCACAAAGATCTTTTTCATGTCTTTTGTATCAACATAACATGCTCATAACTTACTGTATTACTCTACTCTGACAAACGCATTTCCCACAAGTTTCCCTTAACCATATAAAGTTTATGAATATTAGGCATAATGAGGCTTTTATATGCTTGTCTAAAATAGCAAGCAAAAAGATCTGTCACCAAAAATCTTTGGCCAAATGTCCTAACATCTTTTAATACTTCAGTTATATTTCCAAAAAAAAAAAAAAAAAAAAATCCATGCAAGATGCAATTTTCCAGGGTTTAGATTACTTTGGAAAGCAAGATGGAAAGATATTATGGTATTGGACTTCAATAAGGCTAAAACATTACATATCTTAAATTTCTGTAAAGGTCAGTGCTAATAATCAAAACAAGGGTTTAAACTGTCAACCAATTGCTCACATTTATATTTATAAATTGAGTTAAGGGAACTATTATTTTGTGATTAATACTGGTATAACTGTTAAGAAAGAATTAGTTTCCCTGTACCTGAGATTGTTGACTTGTTCGCTGAGCTGGCTTGTTTTTGTTCAGATGTTTCATCACCATTCTAGGTGGCATCATCAGTGGAGCCCCTGATGAAGTAATGTTATTCTACTCTGTTTGGAATTTATACCGTCTGGTCCGTTACTCACCACAGACCAAAGAGTATAAAGTCCAAGCAGAGTCGAATAACATCACTTCATCGGAGGCTCCACTGACGATGCCACCTAGAATGGTGACAAAACATCTGAACAAAAACAAGCAGGCTCAGCAAGCAAGTCAACAACCTCATCCACAACCTGAGCTACAGATCTTTGCCAAATACTTCCCTGTACCTTTCTGGGAAAAACAAAGACCCTTCAAAATGATTTTTTTCTTTCCACTCAGAAATTGTGCAACAGGATTAAAGCCGTGCAACTTCAAGGCAGTAGATTCCCAGGGTTTGGACTAACATGGAAACCATATCAAATTCTGTCAATCAGTAGGAGTGGATAGACAACTGCAGAAAAGAGAAAAGGAGGGAAATGCCATTACCAGATTCCCAGAAGGCCAACATATATACATCAGTCAACTGAAGCAACAGCTGCAGTAATAAGTTACTTCTGATCATAAACTGCAAAAACATATATAACACCAAATATTACAATAAATCAGATTACATGGGATATTAAAATTCGTTAAATGATAGAACTAAGTTCTGACACTGTGTGGTACATTTCTTTCATAGAAATTAAAGACCCAGAACTCATGATTACACAGGCAGAAATTAGTTATGACTAGAAGTCAAAGAAACCTCAAGTACAGCATTAATCTTCACAGATGACAAATCTGTAAACCTGTGAATACATTAAATACATACCAGTTTGTAGCATTCATTATTCACAAGGTCAAACAATGCATTTTATGACAAAGCTATGGATAACGTTTGATATAAATGAAGTGCAATACAGAGAATTCTCAATAAATTGTAGGAAAATATCTTGAATAAATCAATGATTTTGAATTAATAACTTAAAAGGGTGTAGAGATGCAAATCACTAAGTGACCAATAATAACATGTTCACTTTGTAAAAATTGGCCATGCGACCTCAAGAATGATAATTTGCTTTTAGCTTGAGTCACACTTCAAAGTTTTAATTTGGAACTATATTGTGGGTGAGCAGAGGGAATTGTTATTACAATGTTATGCAGTAGTATACAGCACCACAATGAAATGGAGCATGACCATTAAGTATTCTGAACAATTGGTTGCTTGTGGTACTCCTATCACATAGTTAATTAGCTAACTTCACTCACGTTAACTCCTCAGGATGAGTTTTTGACCTCCAATGTCAGAGAAACAGTGTAAAATATTCTAAACCATTTCCAAATTGAAGGTGACAGCAGTGGTTTCAACAGCACTAGTCAATACATATGTAACAATGGTGAATTTAGGAATGGGTGTTGCAGATACGTTAATTTGATGGATTACACCAAGGCTAGAGATCTCAAATTCAGCAGGTTATCCAGGAAACATCAAGCAAGAGGAGAGATGAAAGAGAATAAAGGGACAAATGAACGTCAGGTCATCATTGCCCCAAAGTACTGAACGCCATCAGAGGAAGGAAGAAAAGAAAATCAAACCCATCAAGGTGATGCCCCTCAAACAAAATTCCTAAATGTGACAAGATTGAATGAAGTTAAATCCTGTCTGTGGGAAAGAGCTTTTAACTTGCAAAGCTGATTTAGATTTGGTCATTTTTTAAAAAGTAAACTGATGAGAACTACTGAGAGTGTGAATAAAACTGGTGACAAGTATTAAGTTAAAAATAATTTCAGTACATTTACCAAGTGTGAAGATAAACTCTTTTTGGAGAACATTGTGAAATAACAATCTCATGGTGGAATAATAGGACAAACAGGAAAAACAGAATTCAATAATAATCTATACTTGAAATTTCTGTTACCCTAATGGGGTAAATAAACCTAATCTTTTGCACAGGAATACTTGATTGTGTTCTGGGACTTGGTCAATCCAGTGAGCAATGTTTTTATTATCTTCTTTACAGACAAAAGTAGTTAAAGAAATATTACTGCACAACAAATAATGATTGTAGTTCCTTGCATCAAAGCTTTCCTTAACGATTCGAGCAGGAAAAATTGCTTCAGCAAAAGCCTGATGTCCAACTTCAAGGAGGTGGTCATGTTATTCTAATTACACAGGCTAGTTATCCAGAGGCCCACGTTAATGTTCTGGGAATGAACTCCTCCATGGCAGATGGAGAAATCTGAATGCATAAAATCTGGAATTATATACTAGCCTAATGACAACCATGTCGATTGTTATACACACTTATCTGGTTCACTAATGCTCTTCAGGCAAAGAAATCTGCTGTCTAGCTTGCATGCGATTCCAAACACTAGATATGTTGTTGAATCTTAGTTGGCTTTGTAGGCCATTGCAAACGGCAATCAGTTCAAGGGTGACAAGGAACGGGCAACAAATGCCAGTGACACCCACATCCCACATGAGAATAATTTTTAAAAAAAATCAAATACCCTTAAGGCTTCTTTACTGATTGACTACATTATCATGATCTTAGTAGTGCTTCATCTCAAACTTCTTAAGTCTTACTAAAAGCTGTAGTAAATCCTTTATTAACTGATAAGCTTCTGACTACTTGAATGATTCAATAACTATCCTGTTCTTGTTAAGTAACTACAGGTACACCACCTTTGAGTTGACTGCTGTTAGATTAAGTGTGATTATTAATTTCTATCTGCAATGCTTGAATTTATAGATTGAGCTCTACTGAACATTATGCAAAGATTCTCAGTTGGAATGCAATTTCGTTTTAACACTTTCTTTATCAGCACTCATTTATATACTTTTTCGATGGGTCAGTTTAGTTAGCCCAATTGTTCTCAAACTGTAAAACTGCAGGCCAATTAGAGAACACAAGTGCATCACATTGATGAGTCGCTCAATTACAACTTTATAACGGTAAAGGATTACAATTGACTGAAAAAGATACTGGAGATAATTGAGTACAAATCTGTTTCATACAGTTGGAACATTCATAAAGCACTATTCATGCATTCAGCAGAATTTTTCAGCTCTTTAAACTTAAAAGGATTTGTATCAAGATCAATTACCTTCCATTTTTAATTATTTAACATGACAAACTACAAAATGCACAATTACTTTTTATCTTGATTTGAAAGTGGTATTCCATGCACAACTATGAGAAATAAGCCACTCAAAGTGATGTTCTAATAAAATAGGTATTCACAGAGCTTTGACATTCCAGCATCTGGGTGGTGATTAAGAATTAGGAGCAGGCTAATATCATCATTATATACTGAACAGGGCAAACCAACAGCAGTTTAACACTTGTAATGGTCAAGTTTTGACACAGCACCATAGTTGATTTTTTATTAATGCGCACTTGGGCCTAACCAATACTTAGCAAAACCCATATAATACAGAGTAATTTAGTGCAATAACATAAATCTTGTATCAACTAGACAGTCACTGTTCTGCAATGCTCTTCTTGAATCCAAATTTTGGGGTCCTTAAAAATTGTAAGAATGTATATTCAACTCTCGTATCTACTATTTTTGTATTTCTAATTTGTACACAAGATGACTGATAGACACGAATCTCCATTTTGTTAATACAGCGAATATTATTTATATCCTTACATTGGTATTTACCACTTCCTCAGGTCACATCTCTAGAATAAACCACAGAACAAGAAAATTCAATTGGTTTTGGGTCTGTTCCAGCTTTTTGGATGTGCACACATTTCAATCTATGGTGCATACAGACAGCAATTCAGGTTGATGCTCATCTTGTTACAAATTGAAACAAGATAAAATCAGCATTGACACTCATGGCTCTTAAACCTAGGTTTTAGCGTTCATAGGCCCATCTCATTACATAATGGGGTGATTAAGTGAGACATCGTCAAACCAGAACATGACTATTTAACATGTACAGACTTTGAAAACAGAAAAAAAAAATCCAACCCATTATATATTACCAGCCTAGAACTGATTTAATTCAAGTTATGCAGTTATTTAATGGCATCTCAGAGTCTGGAACATTATCTTCATAAGCATTCCAAAAGCCATCTTGCCATTGAAGCAAGTTTTAAAATCATAGCTGATCCATATTATGCTAAGCTTTTCAAAACCAATTATCAAAAAAAATGCACAAACTGGTACAAGTAAAATCTAGTGTTAATCTTTGAGACACTGTTTAAATCAAACCAGCAACTCATGAGATAAACCACATAACTTTCAGAAAAGTGCTCTTTCACATGGTAATATCCTCGATTTGCTGTAACTAGCATCAATGGAAGCAGCTTGTGTGAAAGGTTGCATCTGTGTTTGGAAAACGTAACCCTTTTATATCATATATTCTGACCTCCTTTTCTTTCACAACGAAAGCTCTTACAGGCGTCTCAATCCAATGGTTGAAAGTTTCTAAGGAGAAAGGATCCTCATTTGTGCAGTATTTTTTCAAAAAAACTTTCTGCAACATCCCAATAACTGACTAGTGTCAGCCAGCTATTTGATACAACTTGTCACAACAATGGGCATTCAATTATATAATACAATGAGGTAACAGAGTACAAAAAAAAGGTCAAACCAGTTTGCAAACTTATGTAGAACCAGTCTTGTGATCATGAATTCTCAGATAAACAGTAGTTTGTATTTATTTTTTCAACTTGCACGGTCTGTATTTATTTAGTTTTGAAAGTGAAAAGATAGTAATGAGTCATTTTTTTAAATATTTCTCTTTATGTATTTACAAGCTTTTGAGTAGCTCTATAGTTTGAAAGTATTACAAGCACTTCCTCAAGTTGAATTTTTTTTGTACAAGTTCTCCATGTTCTGCAGTTCATAATGTACGGCTTGGAAATTCGGGGAGCGTCATCTTCCAGTTGAATGTTATGTACATTTCTAGAGCAAGCTGAAGCAGGCAGGAAGAATTACTGGTACATATTACTACTTTCAGCCATCATTGTTAACCCCCGCCCATATACTAAATTTTGATGCCCTGTATTTGTTTGAAATGGCCTTGTGGGCAAAAGTTTGGGTTGCTTTTCTCTATGTTACATTCTGTTTACAGTAACTGCAAACTCAAATTACATCACTGTTGCAGTTCTAAAAATAAATTAAAGTGTTCAAATTTTTATTTTTTTGCTGCACAAAGAAGTGGAACCATCTGTCCTTTTAAAAATAACAAAAAAGCTTAAAATTTAAAACAAAAATATTTTCTATAAATAATACATTTTTTAGTGCTCCCACCCATGGTTCTTTAACATCACCGCGGCTTTTCTTTACGTGCGTGTACCATAATTTTCATCATGATCGCTGACTGTATATCCGTGCATATTTGTTGCGATGATTGGCCTTTTTGCACTTTGATTGGCGAAGACATTTTTTGTTTTTTTTTAGTTATCTTCTGACTCTTCCTCAGCTTCTCTTAGCCATGTAAAAAAAGCTGTGACAGATTTTAGCGCTACCCCTTTGCCGCTCTGCTCTGCTGGGTCTTTGCTACTTTCCCACTTGTAGAATGCATCTTCAGATATAACATCCTCATCATACAAAGTGTCGAAAAACATTCTTAACAAGTCTGTATGAAGGACAGAGATGGAGAAGGAACACAGACTGTTAGTATTGTGTAACACCAAGTAAAACATTTTTCTGTCCATATTAAGAGGCAAAACCTGTCATGAAAGGGGAGGACAAAGATGATAGAAAGTCGACATGGATACTGTCAGTTCTGCTGCAACGCATGTTGCTTTAATGCGATTGAAGAATTTAGACCGCTATTTGTAGAATGCAAACTTTCCTTACATGTATTGGCTATGATGCGATTCCGGCCCCGTTAGTTTAAATGGTGCAGCTATTGCGCGATTTTTTTTATAACGCGAGATTGCAGGAGAACAGAACTATCTCGTTACATCAGAACCAACTGTACAAGATTTGATATAACAACTTTTATATTAAAACTAAGAACATTTTAAATAAAATGCAGATGATTGCAAGTCTGTGGAATATTTGACTCCAATTAACGACTGAACCAGTGCCGGTGACAAGCAAGTTAAGACAGGCAATTGAAGAAAAGGAGAATAAAGAAATACAAGAATGGCCTTATGTAATTGAGATCACTGTTTGTGCGGAGAGTGCACTCTAGCATGGACTCCTTGGGTTGAGTGGCCTACCTGCATTGCCATCTAAGACACAATAGTTTTGAACAAAGTAATTTACCAGTTCAATTTTTTATGATCCAACATACTGGATGTGCTTTAGCCTATTCAACTTGAAATTACCTCCCTTCTCTGTGGTAAGAGCAACTGCATAGAAATCAAGATGGGGATTGTAGCCATTTCCCCACCACACAGCCCCAGTCTAACCCAAGAATATGATAGTCACATGCAGCATGCTACCACCACTTTGGGTCAAGACCTCGGTCATTAAGGTATACAGCACAGAAACAGACCCTTTGGTCCAACTCGATGTCCTAAACTGATCTAGTTCTATTTGCCAGCATTTGGCCCATATCCCTCGAAACACTTCCTATTCATGTACCCACCCAGATGCTTTTTAAAATGTCATAAATGTCACCACCTCCACCACGTCCTCTGGCAGCTTGTTCCATACATGCACCAACCTCTGCGTGATAAAGTTGCCCCTTGTATCCCTTTTAAATTTTTCCTCTCTCACCTCAAATCTATGCTCTCCAATTTTGGAGTCCTCAACCCTGGGAAAAAAACTGTGGCTATTCACCCTATCTATGCTCCAGGGAAAAGTCTCAGCCTATTCAGACGTTCACTATAGTTCAAACCCTCCAATTGTGGCAACATCCTTGTAAATCTTTTCTTAACAACACCTTTTCTATAACAGGGAGACCAGAATTGAATGTAGTATTTTAAAAGCAGCCTCAATGTCCTGTACAGTTGCAATATGATGTCCCAACTCCCTATTCAATGCAGCGACCAATGAAGGCAAGCGTGCCAAATGCCTTCTTCACTATCCTGTTTACATTTGACTCCACTTTCTCGGAACTATTCACCTTCACCCCTTGGTCTCTTTGTTCAGTAACAGTCTCCAGGGCACTACCATTAACTATGTAAGTCCTGCCCTGGTTTGCATTACCCCAATGCAACACCTTACATTTATCTAAATTAAACTCATCTGCCACTCCTCAGCCCACTGGCCCATCTGATCAAGATCCCTTTGTACTCTGAGGTAACCTTCTTGGTTGTCCACAATAAACCAATTTTGGTGTCATCTGCAAATTACTAATCATACCTCCTATGTTCACATCCAAATCATTTATATAAATGACAAAAAGCAGTGGATCCTCACAGCACACTTCTGGTGACAGGCCTTTCGTCTGAAGAACAACCCTCCATCAACACCCTCTGTTTCCTACTTTCAAGCCAATTTAGTATCCATCAAGGTAGCTCCCCCGGTATTCCATGCGATCTAACCTTGCTAACCAGTCTACAACACAGAATCTTGTCGATCGCCTTGCTGAAGACCATATAGGCAATGTCTACTGCTCTGCTTTTATCAATTTTCTTTGTCACCGCTCCAAAAAACTCAATCAAGCTAATGAGACAAAGCCATTCTGACGATCCCTAATCAGTCCTTGCTTTTACAAATGCATGTAAAATCCTGTCTCTCAAAATCCCCTCCAACAACTTCACCACCACCACCGACGTCAGGCTCACTGGTCAATAGCTCCCTGGCTCATTCTTACCACCTTTCTTAAATAATGACACCACATTACCCACCCTCCACTCTTCTGGCTCCTCACCCATGGCTGTCGATGATACAAGTGTCTCAGCAACAGGCCCAGCAATCTGTTTTGGTCCCTGATCAGTTCCCAGTAATTTATCTACCTTTATGCATTTTAAGACCTCCAGCATTTCCTCTTCTGAAATACAGACACTTTTCAAGACATCAATGTTTATTTCCCTAAGTACCCTAGCTTCCATGCCCTTCTTCACAGTAAATACTGACATGAAATATTAATTCAGTATCTCACCCATCTCCTGTGGTTCCACACATAGCCTTGTTAATCTTTAAAGGGCTCCAATCTCTCCCTAGTTACTCCTTTGTCCTTAACGTATTTGTGGAATCTCTCTGGATTCTCCTTAACCCTATATACCAAAGCTATTTCATGTCCCCTTTTAGGCCTCTTGATTTCCCTCGTAAGTACACTCCTACTCCCCTTATACCCCTTGTTCCCATCTGACAAGTCAACAAAGTCTCTTGGTTTACGTGGCCTGGTACCATGTAATATTGTATGTTCACCCACTAAACCAGGGAGTTCCTTTGATACTTATTGTAAACCAATAAGTTCAAAGAGACATTGTGATAGTGATAAATATGTTAAAAGTACCACATGCACAGAATTAGGCCACTTTCTTTTTTTAGAAGTGAATAATTCAGGAACTGATGTGTAAATGCTTAAAAGGTCTGGTAACATAAATCTTCACCTTTCTGTTTGTTGAGGCAGTACTCCAGTGGTAATACTTGTAGACTTGTAGACCAGATCCCCAGACTAATGTTCCAGGGATAAGGGTTTGAATCCTACCATGACAGATGGTGAAATTTGAATTCAATGAAAGAAAAATCAAGAATGAAAAGATAGCCTAATACTGACTGTGTAACCTGTGTCAATTGTTGTTTAAAAATAAACTAGAATGCTAGCCTTGCTTGGTCTGGGTTATATTCCAAGTCCACAGTAATGTGGCTGTATCTTAATTGCCTTCTGGACAATGAGGGATGAACAATAAATACTGGCATTGCCAGCAACACCCACATCCCATGACAGAATGAAAATGACCTCTTTGAGGGAATACGTTGTTGGGGATAAGGACAAGGAATAAAGAGAAGGAAAGGTAGACATGAGACAAGATTGAGTATAACTCAGAATTTAGATTAAATTGCACCAAAAGTTAAGTACAATACTTACTAGGGGGTTGATCAAGTTTTACTATTAATGCTTGTAGTGCATAAAGTGCTTGTAATTCTCTTTCAGTATCGGAGTTAAGGTACTTCAGTAATAATCGCAATCTCTGCTGTACAACGTTTGCATCCACTCGACTTGGAGCTCCTTCCCCTATAGATAACAACGCAGTATTGGAAAAGAAGACAAGTGTACAAAAGTATCAAAAGCATCTTTAATGCCATAACCCTAGATGAAATAAAAACATCGATTTAAACTTGATTTTTGCAGAATAGTCTGACTAAATAACACATTTCACATACATGATGTGCATTGGAATTTTAAAAATGTTTGTTCCATAGTAAGCCTGGATAATACACCTTTCTATAAATTCCAGAGGTTCTTATTTTATCTGCCACAGTGTTTTAAAATATTTGGAGGTGCTGATGGCCTAGTGGTATTATCGCTGGACTGTTAATCCAGAGACCCAGTCAACGTTCTGGGGACCTGGGTTCGAATCCTGCCACAGCAGATGGTGGAATTTGAATTCAATAAATATCTGGAATTAAGAATCTAATGATGACCATGAAGCCATTGTTGGAAAAACCCATCTGGTTTACTAACTCCCTTTAGGGACTAACTTCCTTACCCCGGTCTAACTTAAATGTGACGCCAGACCCACAGCAGTGTTGTTGACTCTTAACAGCCCTTTGGGCAATTAGGGATGGGCAACAAATGCTGGCCTAACCAGTTACGCCCACATCCCATGAATGAAAAAAAAATTAAGACATCGAGTTTCAGAGGGAGCAGCACAAACAACTTTGCTCTACTTAATCTTTATTCAAATGCACATCACAAATGCAGGTCCTAGTGGATATAAAGCAGAAATACTGTAATTAATTTTAAATTAAATTAACAGTTGATCTGTTAAAAACAAGGAAAGCCATCCCCGGCGATAGGTCATTTCAGAGTGAATTAGGAGGCAAGTGGAAATGACTTCCCCAAAAGGTTTTAGTATTGGGTCAATTATGTTTTTAGGATGGAGACTGATAGATATTGATTAGATAAGGAAGGAAGGATATGAAGCAAACATAGAGGATCATCCAGGATCTCTTTGAATGGCAAGCAGATCAAGCTGAGAGACATTATCCTATGTAGAAAGAATTTACTATTCCCCTACACATGTAGCAACTCCGCCCCATTTTGTTTTGCCCCAGAGGACCATTTATAATCCACTATTTTTGTCTGATGTTACAAGAGACAAATTATCCTATGAAACCATCTACCATATATCCCAAAATGTATAATTACTACTGACAATATGGACTTTCTCCTCCAAAAAAACAGAGGATGCTGAGGCCAAAAGATCATTTACACACTAGGGGAGACATCTGACACCTGGAGGGTCATTGCTGATAATTGCAGCAAGGTTTTTAATTAACAAATACAGGCATTTAAAAAGTAACTATGAACATACTAATATCGTGCGATTTTCAAAAAAATATTCAGTTACTCAAAATTTTAATATTCATCCAACGTGTTTTCTATTCCATTCAGCAATTTCTCATTAGGTTGTATTTGCAGACACACTGAAGCAAAATACAATTTGCAATTCTCTTCATTGCCAGATTCCATTCAGTAGACAACACTTACACAGATTAGACAATGTCTGATCACAAAGTAAGTGGAAAAGTGACGTTACTGGGACACAGTCAGCCTACTTACATTAACTGCTAAAATATCACCCTTAGATTCTCTTTGTACTGGAGGAATGGCAGAGCTATGCAAAATGGCTTTGATGAAATTAGTAGCCCATCATGGAGACCTTTGATCCTCCCATGCTAAAAACTGTCTCTCAGCTTCGCTGATTCGGTCTCTTCATTGGAGTATAATAGCACCACCTATATCAGTTACCACTTGCATCTCAACCTGTAGCAAGACTAGTCAAAACAAATCCTTGGAGCAGTTACAATACATTTCTCAAGCTCAATTAAAAAAAAATTGCTCAACTTTTAGAAAGGCATCAAGCATTTATGACCATGATAGCTTATATTATGGACTCTGTATTCACTGAGTTATGTGACAAAAGGAGAAATTTATAGAACCTGTTTACTTCTAGTCTCCATGTGGTTACTTACCACTCTTATAAACTGTCTTCAGCGAAATTTAGTGTGGTTCCTCACTTATTATGGCAAACAGTATCAATGCTCATTTGGCATTTAAACATTTATGATTAACATAGAACTATAGATTTGCATTTACATTTTCTAAACTCCAATTTAAATATTGTAGGGGCATTGGTGGTTAATCAAAACATCAAATCATTTTTCTAACGTTTTACATTACACTTGGATTTTTAAAAATGAGACCCCATGAGCTATAAATTGTGAACAACTGTTATATAATTCACCAAATGAAAAATGAAGTACATGGTATATTGGAAAGAACAGAGTCCAAAAGATTGCTAATTCTACCTGTAATAGCTGATCTACAAACTGTTGTCATTAAAGCTCGAAGGAATGTAGACGACCCAACCTGTGATTCATCTAAATTAGCCTAAAAGGGAAAAATAAATACTTTTAGAATTTGACATCAACAGCCTTACTCAAAATACTGAACTCGCGAGAAAAGAGGACAGGGAACTGCGGTGTCTTGAAGTTGAATTTTAAAGGTTTTTGTCAGTGTTCCGTCCAGTTGGTTTGCCATGTTACACTCACCAACTCAAGGTGGTTTCTTTTTTATTATTCAATGATGTGGTAATGAGGGAGCAAATTTAATGCTTAATAAATAAATTAGAACAATTTCAGTAAGCAGATGGTTAGTCTATGGAATTCCGTCACAAACCATGCTGAAGTAGAATTTGAAATGCTTTAAAAAGAGAATTAGACAGTTGTTTAAAAAAAAAATCAAAATATTTGGAGACAGACTAGTGTGGCTTGCGGAGGGGAAAAAAAGACCTGTTCCTTCATTATACCTTTCTATGACGAGACTTGCACCTCTCATAACATCAGAACATCCGAAGTCATTTTGTAGCCAATAGTTTGGAAGTGTAGTCACTTGTAATGTTGGACACACAGCAACCAGTTCGCACTTGTCTGAAACTGTGCAATGGGATCCTTTGGCCCATCTCAGGGAGTAGATAGGGCTTTCATTTAAAATAAATACCAAACATATTATTTCCCTCTGTACAGAATTGGAGTGGTAGTCTAGTCATTGTGCTCAAGATTCTGGAATGGGATTTGAGTCCAGAAATCATTTACAAGTTAAACAGCTCAGAACAGAATGAAGCTGTTAACAGATGAGTGTTTATTAAATAAAAAGTTAAAAAGGTTATTAGAATTTACTCCAAAGTCAAATGGCAATGAAATAGATCTGAAGTTCAATTGTTTTCGCCATGAAATGTGTCTGCACTATTTTTCTTTTATACGGTAGATATCTGTACTTGTTCTTGACTAATTACTCAAGGTTCTTGCCAGATTTGTGAATTTAATCAGGAAGTAATGAAAATTTGTCACATCACAATAAATCTTCAACTAATTGATTATTTGTGGTGAGCAAATCACCAGAGATGAATGGAAATTCAACACAATGTTTAATCATCAGAATCTGAGAAAACCACACATGGAGAATCAATTTGCCTGACACAGTGTACACTGCCTGCCTTTACTGTTTTTACTACATACGAAGAATTAAAATTCAATGCAACGCTCCACTACTATGAAATAAAATGACCAACAGCATATAACATCAGTCACCTAAACTCTTGCAGGGACGGCAGGTTAAATTGATCAGATTCCTGACTAGATGCTGGCATATAGCAGGCTATTTAAGTTTATGCATTTTCACATGAGATATAATCCTCACATAAACAAATATTGCTATTGTTTTATATATTTAGAGTCATATAGTACGGAAACAGACCCTTCGGTCCAACTAGTCCACACTGACCATGTTCCCAAACTAAACTAGTCCCACTTCCCTGTGTATGGCCTCTATCCCTCTAAACCCTTCCTATTCATGCTCTTATCCAAATATCTTTTAAATGATCAAAATCAAAGCTGCTGAAAAAGCTCAGCAGGTCTGGCAGCATTTGTGAAGGAGAAAACAGAGTTAACGTTTCGGGTCCGGTGACACTTCCTCAGAACTGATGGTGGCTGGGAAAATGTCAGTTTATATGCAGAAAATAGGGAGGTGGGTGGGGCAGGGAGTAAACGATAGGATACAGCCCTAAGAGAGAGAAAGACAGTTGGACAGGCAAAGGAGTTGCTAACGATCAGGCTGGGAGGGTGAATAGTTGTTAATGGGGACTGTTAGTGACTAACAACAGGGGGTGTTGTAATGGCAGGCTATGTGGTAACAAGGCCTGGTGTGTGGGGTGGGGGGCTGGGACATGGGAGAGTTTAGGCCCTAAAATTATTGAATTCAATATTGAGTCTGGAGGGCTGTAGGGTCCCCAAGCAGAAGATGAGGTGGTGTTCCTCCAGCTTGCGTTGGGCTTCACTGGAACACTGCAGCAAGCCAGAGACAGAGATGTTGGCCAGGGAGCAGGGTGGTGCAGGCAACAGGTAGTTCAGGGTCTTTTTTGTGAGCAGAATGCAGATGTTCTGCGAAGCGGTCGCCAAGTCTACGCTTCGTTTCCCCAATGTACAGGAGACCACATTGTAAGCAGCGAACGCAGTAGACTAGATTCTGGGAAGTGCAGGTGAAGTGTTGCACCTTTAATATCTTTTAAATGATGTAACTGTACCTGCATTATCACTCCCTCTGGTGGTACAATCACACATGAACTATTCTCTGTGTAAAAGTTGCCCCTCATGTCCTTTCTAAAAACTTTCTCCTCTCACCTTAAAAATATGCCCCCTAGTTTTGAACTCCCTCACCCTAGGGAAAAGACCCTTACTATTCACCTTATCTGTGCTCTTCATGATTTTATAAACCTCTATAAGGTCACCCCTCAACTTCCTACTCTCCAGTGAACAAGGTCCCAACCTATCTAGCTTATTTTTATAACAACATTCTGGTAAAACATTTCTGAATCCCCTCCCATTTAATAATATCCCTCCTTTAACAGAGGAACCAGAACTGTACTCAGTACTCCAGAATAGGCCTCACCAATGTACTATACAACCTCAACATTATGTCCCAACTCCTGTACTCAAAGGTCTGAGCAATGAAGGCAAGCATGCTAAATGTCTTTCTGATGATCATATTAATTTTTAATATGACGCATTAGGCCTGGTAGTTGCTGTATTTAAATATTTATCCGTGATTTGGGAAGAGTAAGCAATGTCATACTACTGCTTCTACAAATGTTAGCTATTACACATCAAAAAGGTTAACAAGACATGAGTACATCATTTCTCAGGGTGATGCTGTTATTTTAATAGCTTCATCAGAAAGCAATTACCCTTGTAAATGGAGCAATATGATCAATTTTAAAAAATAGCACAGAATGGTTTAATCTTACATTCCAATAATTCAACCTACTTCTACCCAGTCAAAGACTTGCTCATTGCTAGCCCTGTCTTCAATAATAAGCTTTTCTAGCCACTTGTTCAGTTCTTCAGCAGACAGCTCCATTTTTGAAAGTGCTTCAGTAGGACTAGAAACATCCGATATAGTAAACTCCAATTTCTGCAAAGGAATAACAAAATTAATATTGTCAATTTTAGTGGAAGAGCTCAGATAACATATACATCTCACAACTATGCAAAATTTTATTCCCTGAAATAATCTCTACCCAGTTGACTATTAAATTTGCACTTGGAAATTCAGAATAATTACCAATGATTTCATCTGCCTGGAGATTCACTAAAAACTGAATTTTAGACACAAATGATGGTTAGAAACCATGGCTCTCCAATCTTATTGCCATAGTGGTACAGCTGTGACTGTTGGTGATTCAACAAAGGAATTCAAAAAATGCTGAATGGAAGGTGTCCCGGGTTCTAGAATTGTGAAATTTGAAACATTACATGGTTATTAAGTCACATCAAGAAAAGTAAAATTAAGTAACACTAGGTTAAGGATGCAAAACATTGATGACTGCTGGAGACCATTTCCTAATCTAGGAAAAAGGCATCCTAATGATTGCTAGAATTACCCAGGTCAGGACCAATCTGAAATTTAACAACGTAAGAAATATAAGGAATTGCAGGATGTAAGGTCCTTTGAGCCTGCACTGCACTCAATAAGACGTTGCTGCTCTGATCCTGGCCTCATCTCCACTGTCCTGGCTGTTCTCCATAACCCTCAACTCTCAGTCAAAAATTTGCCCAACTTAGTTTTGAAACAATTCAATGACTCAACTTCCACAGCTCTCAAGTGCAGAATACCAAAGATTCATTACCCGGAAAAGAAATTCTTCCTCCTTTCCTTATCAAATCAGTGATCACTTGCTCAAAAACTATGCATTCTACATTTTCATTACCCAATGAGGGGGACAAATTATTTCAGCATTGACCTTCACAAGCTCCCTCAGCATCTTAGATTGTTTCAATAAGTTCATCTCTCCTTATTCTACACTTCAGAAAGTGTACTGCCAATCTGCTTTACCATTCTTCACAGCACAACCTCTTCATTCCAGGAAACAAACTATGTGAACATCCCAAATATGAAGAACAATCAGAATCACAAAAATACAAGAAAACTGGGTAATAATTAAACTTCAACTTCAATGTTATGATGATCCAGCTGATGTTGATAAAGTTCTGTTTAACAGAATAACTAGTAGAAATGAAGATAAAACAGAATAATCCAATCTACTTACATACAACACTGATATTTTTAAACATGCGGTTAAATTTCACTAATTCCAAAACACTCCATTACAGTATCCAAAAGTTCCTCTTGAACAATACTCGCACCAGAGGGGAAAAAGCTTTTCTAGTACCTTCATAAGCTTAAGTTAACATTACTTCAACTCTTGGTCTGGAAAAATATGACAGACACTTCCTGGATCGACATCAGAGTTCAAATGTACTCAACTTTGATAAAACTTCCTTAGGGTTTTATCCAAAAAATGGAACTTCTTACTTTGAGATAATTCAGTGTTAACAAATCTAACAATCTTCTCCCTTTCTCAGGAGCACACCTTCATCCAACTTCTTTTGTTTCAGAACTGTCCAAAACTGAACTAAAACCTCTCTCTTTCTGTCACTGAGCTATGGGTGTTGCTATTAATCTTCTCTAAGGAATGGGAGTTCCCTACTCTTTATGAAAAAACGCCCAGAAATTTCTAACAGTCCTTGGTGCACAGTTAGAAACGCCCCTAATTTACATAAAATCCATTAGGACTGTTTTAAAAGAAATGACTGTGGCTTCAGGACACGGTGAACAATGCAACGTTGCTGAATAAAATCCCATCTAAACAAAGATGCTGTTAGTTTTCAAAGTGATTATAAGGTTAAATGAATGTTTCAAAATTACACTCAGGAGGGAACCAAAATCGTTTAGTAGAATATCATATACATTTCATTGTTCTGATAAAGATAATTCATTTTTTGATTGCGTATTCATTCAGAAAGCTGAATGAACCACAGTAGTATAAAATAACTGAACTTTATTTGTAGTACTTTAATGTATATTTGATTTCTAATCTTGCAAGATTTCTCTTCTCTCTAAGTACTGATTCCATTAAGAGCTAATTTCTTAGATATGGGCCTGGAACTCTTGTACAAGCTCTTTAATTATGGAAGACATCACAGTCAAGCCCAATGCTGTCCTCCTTACACAATTACGTACACAAATTTCCATCAATGCCAGTAAAAGTGATAGGAGTGGAAATGTTCCGTGATTTTCAACTTCTTTGGCCAGAATAGTTAGATTATTGTAATGTCCTATGCGGTACCACAGAGGGTGAGAGTTAACTTTGCAAAGTACCAAACAGTAAAAATAAAGCTCTCGGATCTGAAATTATGACACTGGCTTGCTCCTTTATGCATTGAGAGGTTACTGAAATTGAAAATTATGTAGAATGCTGGATCTAATAACCTGCAGGCATCCTTTATTCACCGGTATATACAGAATAAGTTTAAGTTTGAAATATAAAGTTTACATTTACTATGCATTCTCCCTCAATTTTTATTTGCAGTGTGATGGATGCAGCAAGACTTGCCCACAGTAATGACTCATTGTTCTCAGTCATGTATATACTACCTCAAACATTAAGGACCATACAAAAATTGTTACATCAAATCGAAAAGTGGCAACATGTTTGGAAATGCCTAGCACATGCTCAAATGAAGGAGACTCCTTGATTTAGCAAACTTATAACAAAATTTCAAATGACAAATCAACATCTTTCATGCAATTCATAAATAGATACTGAAACCTATAGTACAGCATACACTTTCATACACTGAACCTAGAAATTTGGCAGTAACAGCAGTGTTAAAATTAATCCCAATACAGAGATGACATTATTAGCATAATTCCATTCATTAAATATCAATAAATAATCATAATAAAATGGTTACAAAATGGGATTCAGCAGGTTTTTTAAAAAAAATCTTGATCCATTATGTAAGCTGAACAAAACCTTATACAACATTGTAGAGGCGTGCATCAAGAATGTTAAAAATCTTCTAGAATCAGGCAACTTAACTTATGGAAGCAACGCATCTAGATTGGGGAGTAAAGGAATGTTGCAAGGAACCTTCAGCAAACATGTATCATAACTTAAAACAGGAGTACTTAGCAGATCAGGCAAAATTCATGGACAGAAAAAAAATTTTCAGGTCAATGACTTAAATAATTGAGATGAAAGATCAGATACTTCATATAACCAGCATCTGCAACATTTTACTAATGCACTAGCAGTACCTTTGGCTTGCAAAGTAATTTTTGAACTCCACTCTCACACCACAGCCCTAGCCATGTTGTACATCAGAGATTCACAGACATACGAAGATGTGATACAATTTAGCCTAAGTGGACTGGGAGCAGCTACTTGCAGATAAAAACTGTGGGACGGCATTGGCCTGGATTCCAGGATGTTGAAGGATGTAATGGAATAGATATCAAGGGCCCTGGCAGTAATCTTTATATCATCTCTAGCCACAGGTGACATGCCAGAGGATGTCTAAAATTGTCCCAAATTAAAAAAGGGAGGCAGGAACCGACCAGGAAATAACAAGCCAGTCAGAATAACCTGGGTTATTGGGAAGATATTAACAAGAATTCTGAGACTGAGTATACATGTACTTGGAGGGACACAGATTAATCAGGGATAATCAGCAAGGATTTCCGAACATTGGAACAGAAGGAGGCCATTCAGCCTGTTAAACCTGCCCTGCTGTTCAAAACAATCCAGACTAATTTACCAGTTGAATTCAGACAATGACCCAAATTTTCAGTTACTCACTCTGGCAAAGTCTCCCTTGCTCTGACTATGTGCTTTGAACAAACCCTTTTAGCGGCAGTTCTGATTTTACTGACTTGTTTTTCTGAACTTCATGCTACTGTAATTAGCACCTAATTCAGGCAAGGAATTTCAGCATGTTCAGGAGAAACCACTATCAGGCAGCTACCTGTTTAACTGGACTAGTTTAATTTTCTTAAAGGTTATTAGTTCTAGGTCTGGTTCTGACTTTTACTCGATTATTAAGCACAAAATATTTACCAGTTGTAATTCAGATTTTGATCCAAATTCCAAGCTAAAACTGTCTCCCTCTGGTGAAGATTCCCTCACTCTGAATATGTGGCTCACTTAGTGTCTGAGAAATTCGATCAGATTTCTTTGAGCCTGTAATCAGGATTGTTGATGAGAGCATTTGATGTCGTCTGCCTGGACTTTACCAATGGTTTTGATAAGATCCTTCATGGCAGACTGGTCAAGAAAATTAAAGTCCAGGTGATCCAAAGCAAAGCAGTACATCACATCCAAAACTGGCTGAGGAGCAGGAAATAGAGGGTGATGGTCGGAGAATGCTGGGAGCCTATTGGTGTTCCTGAACGATATGGATTTAAACCAAAGCAGGACGGTTCAGAAGTTCATGCATGACACGAAAATTAGTGGAGCAGTAAATAGTGAGAATAGCTGTAAACTGCAGGAGGCTATCAATGAGCATGACTGATCAAATATTTCAATGCCTTTTACCCACCCCAGACCCAAGTAATTTCTCCTCATTTTTAACTTTATGCCCCGGGTCTAGACTCACCAACCTACATTTTACCTGCATTTACCTGGTCTAACCCTTAAGTATGCTTCAAATGAAGTCACCTCTCATTCTTTGAAACTCTAGAGCCCAGGTCCAGTTTGCCCAGTCTCTCTTCACAGGCCATGCACGTCATCCAGGGATCAAGCCTAGTGAACCGTTGCTGCACAAGCTCATATGGCGATGATATCTTTCCTGGGATAAGGAGACCAAAATAAAGCCTGCACACAGTACTCCAGATGCAGACTAACCGAGCTTCTATATAGTTGAT